CCGCCTGTCTCCTCCCCCGCCCAGCGCCGGTCCCGGCGTCGCCCACCTGGGAGGCGCCCGCCAGCCCCTCCGTGACCGGCGGGTTCTCACCTGTGTCCGAGCTGGGCCGGGGCCAGGAGGGGGCGGAGGGCTCAGCCCGCCGTCTCGGCCCTGTCCTGGGCCGGGGCCACAGCGCCCTGGAGGGGTCCCTGCCAGGCTGCCACTGGCCCGAGACAGCGGGCTCTGGGCCGGGAGCGCTTCCCAGGGGGGCGCCTGGGGGCCGCGCCCCACCCCGCCGCGGGGCTCTGGGCCGGGAGGGGGCTATTTGCCAGAAAGGGAAATTCTGGAGAGAGACTGGCGTGGCTGCGAAGTCACTGCAGGTGGTTCTGACCTTTCCTGCTGTACCAGCAGTGTCAGGTGGAAAACACACAGCCCGGAAGACACAGCCCGCTGAGGAAAGACAGTCTCCCCCCGTGGGCCCGCCCCCCCGCTGGCCGGCCGCCGGTGAGCTGCTCAGCCGCCAGTGGGGCCGGCCCCCTGGTGCTGCCCCCCGGCCGGCGGCCCTTGGCCCCTCAGGGCCCTGCCCCCCGCCCCTCCGCACCCCCCCCCGGGCCTGCAAGGCTCAGCAGCCAGGGACAGCGCGCACCGAGTCTGAGCCCAGGGCCCCCGGGACCCCGCTCCGAGGCCTCGCCTTCCCCGTGGCCATGCCCGTGGCCGAGCCGGCCCTCCTCGGCCTCTGCGTCAGCTCGTTGCCAAGGGTAACGCCGGATCTCTGGGCCCCTGGAGTGGAGGACTGCCTGGGCGCCGGGCAGTGTCCGGGGGCGGGGGCGGGTGTGCAGGGGCAGAGAGCGGCCGGGAGCGGTCACGCCCGGCCTCGGCCAGGACCCCCGCCTGGTGCCAGATGCACCGGACGGCCCTCCACAAGCCCGGACTCCCTCCTCCTGCGGCCCGGCGCGCCGAGGGCCGCCCTGCTCCCACAGTGGGGTCTCCCAGAAATGCAGGAGGTCGAGAGGTCCCGGGAGCAGCCGCTGACCCTGTCACTGGGTGCCTGGGCTCCGGACCGGTTGCTGACCGCTGTGCCCGGCAGCTGCCGCCCGCGCCGGCCTCCCTGCCGCCCTCGGCAGGG